TACTGTAAGGTTTCACAAGCAAATATCAGAGTATCTTTTGAAAAATCACTCAATCACCTTTGACTTCTGAGGTGAATTAAACTTCGTCATCATTCGTATAGGTCGCAGCTCGCTGATAATATCCATAGTACTCCGATTCCCATACTGTGGCCATGTTTGAAATATCCATGCGGGTTGCTTTTCCGTCATGTTGTTTGTCAACTAAATTTTCACAAATTTTCACCACTGTCAGCTCCAAACAGGACTTTACCTCTCTTTGCACATCGTAGATCTTGTTGACGTTGACGTAGGAGAAATTTGCAATGCCACTCTTTTCCTCAAGAAATTGGAATAGATCCGCATATTGTACATTATATATAGCCGCTTGTTCAGCGTCGTCAGCGTCTACAAGGCTATCGTAGTCCTTGCAGTCCACTGATGTTGGTTTGAGTAGCTAAAATGAAGTTCTTTGCCTAGTTCTGAGAAATTATGCTGAGGGTTAGACTTTGAAGTCTCTCAGCATCTTCGCTACCGTCTTGTATTTACCAGATCGTCTTTTTGAGGCGATTGTACATGGATAGGAATTGGTTGCCAAGGGTTGCCGTTTTGCCATTGGAAATTGTCTTGAGCAGGGTAAAAACCTGTGAGGAATGATTGCGCTGAGGTAAGAGCTCGATCTGAGTCCGAGGATTGGATGTAGACCTAGGATTGCAGGTTAAATATGTGTAGCAAAACGCAAAGAAAAAAAAATGAGCTGACCTGACTAGGAATATAATTAGGTGAGATAAAGGTACCATACGTTTTTCGGAAATATCTACCAAGTTCATTCAGCTGTGCTATACCTATCTGAACTAATCATTTAGTAATGTCTACTCTGCTTTCGAAAGTTTTTTGAAGAAAACCTACATTAGTCAACTGTTGCCACCCTCGTATCCATGCACTTTCAGTATATGGATCATTTGGGTAAGGAAGTGACAAAGGTGCTCGATCTCCATGCCTCCAGATAGCTTGCACGAACACGAGCTCTTTGGCTGCTTCAACTGAGATCAGGCAAACTAAGCAAGCGGTGAGTTGAAGTGACCTGGGTTTCATTCTGAATAAGAATTGTTTGTGTTTTCTAAGATGTTACTTGAAGGAGGACAAATTTGCGGTGTGGGTGATGC